GATATGCGGGAGAATTATCAATTACGTCTCCTTACGTGCAGGCCATTCATCATTTTAGGACTACCGAAATCATCTTAGCAACAAACAGTTCGATTTATTCACTTTAATAATGAGAAAGCAAAACGACGAACGTACACTTTTCACGGGTTTCTCAGCGCTGTTACTTAAGTCAAACGGCATCTCCATAGAAATCGGGTGACTTAAGTAACATCGAAAACTATTTTGATCGGAAGGTGATTACGTCAAAAAGCAATTTGACTGGTAAATACATTTAAAAATGGGATGTGATCCTATATTCGGACAGTATATAGTGTAATAGCAGGAGAATCGATTGACACTGATAGCTCGACTTTGTTTACCTTTGTTACATTCGACGTAATGAAAATTTGCTCTTGATATCTGGGTAAGTATCTGGCAAGACGATTGAAAATCTGGAAAATCAAATAAATCAGGAATACTGGCAACGCTGTCTCGTTCCATGCCCGTAGAGACAACTGACACTCATCCCATTTTCAGTATTTTGCTACCCACAGTATTTATTGTACCGTCCCTGTATTCATAATATGCTACTCGACGCAGGTATAAAACCACCCTCGACGGTCGAAATGTCATCAGAGCTCATCATTCTCTGCTTGTTCGTCAAGCAGTACAGTCCGGTATTTGCTCGCTCTGTCGAGTTGTTCGATAGTTATTCCAAACGTTTATTCGCGTCGTCAGTAGTGTCGGTCGCATCGTGTGATGGGAAGACAGCGCTCCCGGAGCAGGCTCCGTGAGAAAGCGGAAAAGATCAGTGGTGAGTGTAGCACGAGTGTACCTATTTCAAATAGGTACGCTACTCTTCCCACCGATGTTGGAAATACCACCTCCGCCACGGTGAAGCGATCCAAGAAGAGGAAGAAAAACCAAGGCCAGTTCGATGGTGCGAGTGGACGTGATGACGTCACAGCAACGAACGCCAGCGACATCGGTGATTTCGGCGACACCATCGACAACGAAAATTCTGCCGGCCCGAGTGCGGCAAAAGTGAAGCTACCTCCATTGGTGGTAAAAAATGCTCATCTTAATGAGCTCATCGCGGATCTAGCGACGCTGGGCGTTAAAGCCGAATACAAGTTGGGCAGAGTCGGCACCAAGGTGGTGCTTCGTACCAAAGCGGAGTATGACTTGGTCGTCGCCCACCTGAGGACTTCCAAGGTGGAATTCTTCACCCACGACATTCCCGGTGAGAAACCATTCAAGGTCGTCATCAGGGGCCTACCAAACTTCGACCCGAAGTTTATCGAAGCTGAAATCAGGGACCGGTACAAGCTGGCCCCAAGTGCCGTCTATCGGATGACAAGAAGAGACGAGAATGTGAAGGCGTATCCGGATTGCCTTTTCCTGGTACACTTCCAGAAGGGAACGGTGACGCTCAACGCGCTGAAAGCCATCCGCTCCATTAATTGCATCATCGTCCGCTGGGAGCCATACCGTGGCGGCCATCGCGATGTGACTCAGTGCCAACGGTGTCTGAACTTTGGACACGGCACCCGCAACTGTAACATTAAGCCACGCTGCGGCAATTGCGCTCAAGACCACGCCACTTCCGACTGCCCTGCGGATGAAGCCGTGGCGTTAAAATGCGCCAACTGTGGTGGTGCTCACCAAGGTTCCGACAGACAGTGCTCCAAACGCGAGGACTTCAAACGCATCCGAAAACAGGCGGCAGTTAACAACCAACCAGGACGCAAGAAGGACAAAGTCCCGGCATTTCGGACGGAGGATTTCCCGCCTCTTCGTGCTCCTCAGCAAAGGCAAGCAAATTCGCGGGTGCATTCCGCTCAAGCAACTTCTGGTGATTCTGCTGGCCAAAGCTCTCCATCCCCCCCTGGATTCTGGAGACAACCACCAGCGCAAAACAACAACCCCGATCTGTTTTCAGCGGATGAACTGGTGGAAATTTTCGTCAACATGACCGGTGCTCTACGTAAGTGCCGCAATAAGCCCGAACAGATCCAAGTGCTCGGTAAGTTCATCATCCAGTATGGCGTCTAAACCGCTAACCATCGCTACTTGGAACGCTTGCTCTGTAAGAGCAAAACAGATTGAGCTTGCCGACTTCCTCCGCAAGCATAGCATCGACGTGGTTCTTCTAACCGAGACCCACCTAAAGTCCGGTGACAGCTTCTGGTTGCCTGACCACAACATTATCCGGCTTGATCGCACCAGCTCCAGGGGGGGTGGTGTAGCGGTCATCGTCAGAAAGGGAATCAAGTTTTGCACTCTGCCCCACATCCGCACTTCTATCATAGAGGCCATTAGTGTGGAGGTGGAATCACCAACTGGAAACATCCGGTTCATCGCTGTTTACTGCCCACGCCAGTGTACCGCAAGCAACGGATTAGGAATCCAATTCAAGAAGGACCTGACCGCCATCACCCGTACTAGCTCCCGATTCATCGTTGGGGGCGACCTGAACGCCGGCCATGAAGCTTGGAGGAACTATCAGAGGAACCGGAACGGATGTCTATTGTTCGACCACGCACAACATGGTCTGTACACTGTGCAATTTCCGGACGAACCAACTTTCATCTCTCCGGCGGGAAATCCCTCCACGCTGGACTTTTTCCTGTCAAACATCGGACTATCCAAGCCGGAGGCGCACAACAATCTCAGCTCCGACCACCAACCGGTGGTGACTGAAGTCGGTGTCAATGTGGTTCCTGCTAGAAGCTGCCTGCGTAAAGACTACCACCATGTCAACTGGGTGCAGTACGGACGAATGGTGGACAGCAACATCGATGAAAATCTACTACTCAACACCGTAGATGACATCGACCGGACGTTGGAAGGGCTCCAACAGGCCATATCCATGGCTGACGAGGCATACGTTCGACAAGTTCCTGTGAGGGGTAAGTTTGTTGCTATTGATTCCCACACTCAATTACTGATTCGGTTGAGAAATGTTCGTAGACGCCAGTTTCAGAGGACTGGAGATCTGGGCAAAAAACGTGAAATGGCCGATCTGAATAGGCAGATTGCTTCCAGAATGGACTCACTCCGAAATGAAAGTTTCGGGCGTGTTGTCCAGAATCTGGATGACCGCTCCAGACCATTCTGGAAGGTAGCCAAGGTCCTGAAAAATCATCCCAAACCCGTTCCACCTCTCAAAGTCGAAAATGATGACGATCGGCTTTTAATTACCCCACAGGAGAAAGCAAATGCGATCGGCAAGCATGTCGCTTCATCGCATTTGCTTGGCTCGACTATCCAAAGTCCGCTCGATGATCAGGTTGCGCAATGCGTTCAAAACCTAGATACCTCCCCTTGTGTCGTGCCTCCGGCGGATATGATTACAGTACAACAAATTTGCTCAGCGCTGAAATGCACCAAGAACATGAAGGCTCCCGGGTTTGACGGTATATTCAACTTGATCTTGAAGAGACTCAGCATGAAAGTGCAGTCTCTTCTAACCGCTATCTTCAACAGATGTTTGGAACTGCACTACTTTCCAAGCATCTGGAAAGTAGCAAAAATCATACCGATCCGCAAACCCGGTAAGGATCCAACATTGTCTTCAAGCTACAGAGCTATCAGCCTCCTTTCAGCGCTGAGCAAATTGTTCGAGAAACTCATTCTCAATCGTTTGCTCAAGTTTGTCGAGGAAAGCAACATTCTCCTTCCGGAACAGTTTGGATTCAGAAAGGGGCACTCCACCAATCATCAGCTAGTACGGGTGATGAATAACATCCGAAGTAACAAAGCTGTATCCAAGTCCACAGCCATGGCCTTGTTAGACGTTGAAAAGGCGTTTGACAATGTTTGGCATGATGGACTTGTGTACAAGCTTTGTAACTTCAACTTTCCTTTACATCTGGTTAAAAACACCCGTAACTACCTCCAGCAAAGGTCGTTTAAGGTATCGTTGAATGGTTGTCTCTCAGACACGTTTTCGATCCCAGCAGGAGTCCCGCAAGGTAGTCTGCTGGGCCCCTTGCTTTACAGCATTTACACTTCCGACATTCCTCCCCTCGGTGACGGTTGCGTGTTTTTCCTGTTCGCAGATGATACCGCAATAGCCGTCAAAGGAAGGATGCCTCGCGAAATAACGAACAAACTTCAACGCTGCCTTAACGCCTTTGCTGATTATGCCACCACGTGGAAAATCAAAATCAATGCCACCAAAACACAAGCGATCATGTTCCTCCATCGGCAATCGCCCAAACTGAAACCGGCTCCATCTTGTACTGTAATCATGGATGGCACAAGGGTTGAGTGGTCTACCGAAGTTACCTATCTCGGGATGTTGTTCGATGAAAAGCTCCTCTTCCGTTCGCATGTAGAGAAAACAGTAGTCAAGTGTTCTGCCTTGGTTAGGTGTCTGTATCCGCTGATTTGCCGCAGATCCCGCCTCTCAAGGGTGAACAAACTGGCCGTCTACAAACAAATCATAGCACCTGCGATCCTCTACGCAGCTCCGGTGTGGGAATCATGTGCACAGACTCACAGGAACAAAATCCAGGTCGGTCAGAATAGAGTGCTGAGGATGGTTCTTGATCGTCCTTTCGACACTAGAATAACAAATTTACATGAAGAGGCAGGCATTGCCAAAATAGATTCCAAAATTAACGAAATTAAGACTAAATTTGCACAAAAATGTAATTTATCAGAACATGCTTTGATAAGCAATTTGTATATAGTAGGTTAGGTGTACATAGTAGTTGTAGGTTAGTTGTAGTTGTAAATAGTAGTTATAAGTAGTCTTCTTTTTCAAATTTTCAAGCAAACCAATCCCACCAAGGTGGTCATTCTCTAAAACAGGCCTGATAGGACTAGGAACTGTAATTAATAATAATTGAAATTTCACAGGAACTAAAGTTGAAAAGACGCATCTGTGTCACTTGATAAGTTATACATGTAAACCACACAAATTCAAGAAATATAGATCATTTAAGTCAAGTCAAGTCGAAATGTCATCATTACAGTTTCAGCATCGAACTGTTCGTGTCGTTCGTTGCATAATGTCTGGACGTGGAAAAGGAGGCAAAGTCAAGGGAAAGGCAAAGTCCCGTTCGATCCGCGCTGGATTGCAGTTTCCAGTCGGTCGTATTCACCGTCTACTCCGAAAGGGCAACTATGCCAAGCGTGTTGGAGCCGGTGCTCCCGTCTACCTGGCTGCCGTGATGGAGTATCTGGCCGCTGAAGTTCTCGAGTTGGCAGGAAATGCCGCTCGTGACAACAAGAAAACCCGAATTATCCCACGTCACCTGCAGTTGGCCATCCGCAACGACGAAGAGCTGAACAAACTTCTTTCCGGAGTGACCATCGCTCAGGGTGGTGTCCTGCCAAACATCCAGGCCGTCCTGTTGCCCAAGAAGACCGAAAAGAAGGCCTAAATTCGATCCAAGTTCCCACCCTTTAACAAAATCCGTCCTTTTCAGGACGACCAATTTGATGGTAAAGAGTTTCGTTTTCAAAACAGTTTCCTTCGTGGTGCGCAAGGAGTGATAAAATGAACCCATTAAAAACATGGTTGAATCTTTCTGTCATGCTCTACCTAGTTAATTGATATCCTCATCGAGTAGGTTCGATGATGGTTGATGGGCCCAATCTTAGATCCATTTCCCCTACCTTGCAGAGCTGCGGTGGCCCTGGACTTATGGCCTACATTGATGCAGCGGAATGAAATTCATTAGCAAATTACGGTTGAGATTTCAGAAATGATCATGGTGTGCGTCCACACTTACGGACGAATGGTGTGATTTCTGATAAGGTATTAGTACCTCTGGAAGTGAATAAACTATCTACGTGACATCGGTTTACTGGATGCCGGTAAATGTACCTTACTCTCCGCTTTGGACGTAAACTGCTTGCCTTCAATAAATTGAGTGATTTGACTAGTAACTTCAAAAGAGGTTTTCCTCGGACCGCTGATTCTGAACTGTATTGTTCCTTCATTGCTCAACATTTACCGTTACCGTTGGGACTTCCGGTCTTCTTTGCTTAGCCAACCGGTTAATCGTATTGAAGCGATACTTCTAGATTATTATTACGCCTATACTGTGGGCTCATAGAACAATAAAACCGAGCCTGGTTAGTAGGTGAACACAAAATACTAAAGTAGAACATTCTACCAACATATAGAGTCTAAGAGATTCCTTCAAAAAGGCACAATATATGCGACCGAAATTTCGGATGAAATCCAAACAGATAGAAGTCGATCACAATCCTCTTATTGAGTTTAACCGGTATTAAAAGAGAAATAAGACGCGTTAACCACGAATCCTTGGGAATGATCGTGACACGCTTCATATGGATGACGAATCGTCCTCATCTCATCCTCAGAAAATGGTACCCATTATATTAATCGGCACCTTTTGAAAAATTCCCCTCACAAACAGGCTTTTCATGTACTGCCAGAGGGTAGGGGGAGAGGGGCAATTGAATTATTACTAAAATGAACGAAATTTACGATGTGCGCTTCCATCGTGCAAACTTTATTTTGATTGCCGAAGCATACACTCAAAAAATTTACCACATATGTATCTAATGGATGAAAACCATGTGAATTTCACATAGCTAAAAATCCCACCACAAAATTACATGAATATCAGGGGGACGATGAAAGTCATGAAAAAAGTGTCGGAAAGGCATTAGAAAATTAATCGTTAAACTCTTTCTTGATAATGTTGTGGCCCTGAAAAGGGCCATTTTTCCAACGCGCTCGGCGTAGTTGCCCTTTCGCCCCCAGGCTCTGCTGCCGCTGCTCTGGTACTGCTGCTCTGCTGCTCTGCTGCTGGCTCGACGATCGGATAGACAATGATGGAACGGGCGTTTTTTTTTTTTTTTTTTTTTGAACGGGCGACCTTGTTGGACGCTTATATAGTAGAACAGAAAATATCAGAGGTGTCAGATACTCGTATCTGATGTCTCGGTTGGAGAAAGTATAAGAATATAAAAAAATCAATCGATTTTCACCATCTTTAGACAATGGTTTACTTTTAACCATTTTTCAATAGTTTACAGAATGAAATCAATAGTTTTAAAAGATTCAGCAAATTGCTAGAAATATTTCCAATCGATTGATGCCATTATCTCGTAAATCTATCGAGAGACGGTTGAGTTATTATCGTTCAAAATCTTTTAATTTTTCGTAACTCATCCAAAATGACTGTTTTCAATTTTGTACCCCCGTATGTTGCCGAAAGACGTTATCCAACGTCAAAATGTAGCAATTTGTAGCAATTGTTTATGGTAACATCCTAAATTTTCATTGCAAAACGAGTGAATTGGATTCAAATCGAACTCTGGTACGGACAACGAAAGTTTTTTTTTTAACTCAGACGAACTTAAAATAATCCTCACAGCAATTTTTAATTGTTTCAAAATAATGGTTTGTGTTATGATTTAAAAAAAGGAATCTCTTTTAAAACCGTTGGCCAAACAATCCCAGCCCAAGAAACCCGACTTGGGAACATAAATTTACACCAGAGATCGTTTCTGACGATTTTCCAGCTGGGAGCCGGTGAAATTTATCGCCCCTTTCTCACCTCTCACACACCTGCAGTCAGAAGCTGAGATTATTCTGCAACTGCGGTTTGGCCATTGCGACTTTCGGAGGCGTCGGAGCAGAACACACGGCACCTATTAAAATCTGGAGAATGACAAATGTAATTGCTGAGTGGTCTCGGCCGCCTGATGTTGAGTGGGTGCTCATGTTCCTGTCAGCGCCAAATAACAAATGGTTTCCAACCTGGTCTAGAGCATGTGTGTGATAAGGTCCTTCTGGTTTCACTTTGAGATTCCCGGAATATTAGATTCAAAATTCATCCTACCGATGCTGATGAAATTCCAACCCAATCAGAGCACAGGCAAATTTTCAACTTGCAGTGCACTCCATCGCTGAGCATCAACTCGGGGGTAAACAGATTATTTTAATTTACAATCACTTAGACAGAGAATTGTTTATTTATCATTTATCCTGTATGTGTGCGGATGGCTGCAATCGTGCTTCGTCAGCTCGGTGGGTGGTTCGTCAGTTTCCGAGCACCCAACAGAGAGTTGACAGAAGCATAGGCAGATGTGGATTGTGTACGATTGCCATCGATACTCGTCGTCACAGCTGGATGTCCCAGGAGAGGGAGTGCAAAGATGGGGCGGATTTGTTTGTGGAAAAAGCCCTTACCCAACAATCTCCGAGTATCAGCGATTCTCAACCGGAGGCTCGCGGTTCTCGTTGAAGTTGTGATCAAGGAATCAAAAATATCTCCAAATGACAAAATGACAAGCGAGCAACGAACCGAATGATAACGCTATTTCAGAAGTGGAAAGCAATAATGATATAATCTTCTTCCTTTTTTTATGACAAGCAGCCCGTGCGACACAGCTCGCTCGGGGTGGTAGAAGGCAACGAGCAAATTGTTGGTAAGCTGCTTCACGAAGAAAAGCCGAAGAAGATACACGTGTGTTAATGGTAATTTGTTTGTTATGTCTTTTCTCGATTCAAATCAAGCTAAGTCCTCATCCATGTTTATTGCATCAAAGCAGGCAAGAAATATATCATTATCCTTCTACCACACCGATCGAGCTAGGTTACAGAGCGAGTTTGTCATGGTAGTCGTAGCAACCGTTTTGTCTGTATCGTTGGTTGCTTTATGTGTTTGGATTCGCTGGTTGTGATCACAGGTTGATTTGCCAAGTCGTTCTTCAGCTAGATGATTCTCAAACAGCTTGGGAACCCCTGTCTCCTTTCCTTTGACTGATCCAGTTGAATGGGCGAATACGGCTGGATGCAGATAGGAGTTTGTTTGCACTTAGCTTCTCGGTGACAACAAAGAGATGGACTCGATCTGTGATGTTGTTGGAGCTTGGATTTTAGGATGAAAGCACGGGGATGCGCAACCAACCGACAGCCGGCAAGGGCAACAACTGTGTAGAGTAAATACAATTATCCTTATCACAGGAACTCTCGGAGACGAGAGTCTGCCGTCACTTCTCGCATCGAGTGAATCCGGAGATGCAAATCAATGTAGGTACCTACCTACGAACATACCGATACATGTACCAGAAGCGTTGAACTTGTGCCCTCCCCCGGGTGCGCCATTGTGGATGTATAGACAGGCAGACTGTGTGACTTCGGTTGAATGTTAAAATTGTCGGAGGGCGGTGGGTGGCTTGAAGATCAAACCGGAAGAGAGTAGAATCCGTTCATACCGATAGGAAGCGATAGGATAATCAGAACACAGAATGTCGAAAGGCGATATTGAATACTATTTACGCAAGAAGATGCTCCAATCTCGACAACGGGGCAATTGATTTTGAGTGGAAATATTTCAGTGGGCGAGGATTGTTGATTTGGACTTTAAGATGTGGTTGAATATGTTATGCTACAAAGTGGTTTTCCAATGCTGCTGCGAGAGGTGAGAGCTTTGGAAGATCAAATCAAGGAACTTCCGTTCAATTGAATCTAATGTACGTTATCTCTGGAGACAAGATTAGATTTACGCTTCCACCTATATCTTATTCCTAAGCACTTGGTTGTTTCAGTTTAGAGAAATTAAGTTGCAAATATATGACTGCTTTTCACAAAAAATGGCGGGTGACTAACTATAATCGCAATAATAGATTCGGTTTTTAAAATTCTTTTTGTGAGATTTTATGCGTCAAATAGTCTTCTTTCGATAGCAGATTAAAGAATCCGAATTGAGAGAAGTCGGTATTCTGCTTATTGGCCACCGGAATCCCCATAGTGCAATGTAGGGTGGCATCCTGGCCGAAACATTGGTGCCTCGACCAGGATAGCGGACACTTCGTTGGACATCTCTACTCTTGAGGACTAACCGGACAGCTCTGATAAATTGGACTATTCTATCGCCATCGCCTAAGGAATGGCTCGTGCTGGACTAATGCAGAACACTACCGGACACCTGCGTCCATCCACTGGATCCCTACATCTATTTGCCGAACTCCTACGAGCACCCACCGGACCCCAGCGTCCTATCATCGGACTGAAGCGTTCACTATCGAACCGATGGGTCACTCTTTTGGACCACAGTGTCATAGGACCTAAGCGTCAATCAATCATGGTAAATTTCATTTTATCCAAGTTAGTTAAAATAACATTCGTTTTGTGGCGCCGGAGGGGGGGGGGGGACTTTTACTTTGTCCTCTTTCATCCCTATTATCGAGTATTCGTCGCCGTCACCCTGTTTGGAGTAGATCCATCGAACCACCAAGGAATCACAACGTAGGGTTCTGATCTACCGCTGGACGAAACATTGTTTTTGTTTACCGCTTGGTTCATGCCTCCGCACAGTGGTCTAGAACTGTGAAAAGACGGTCAGAAGTCATTATCTCATGAATCTTGCATTTTAGACTAGTGATGCCTTCAGGAAAGTTTCTAAATATAAAAAGATCCTTCTTTTGACATTGACAATTAATCCATTAATCCTTCTAGAGGTGAGATTCAAAATTTATTTTTCAAAAAATTCCATGTTA